TCAAATGCTTCTTTGCAGAGCTCGTGAGCTTTGCTTGGACACATTGTGCTTCCACAAGGCTAGTAGTACAGCTAGTAGGATTTCAGCCTCGACAGGAAGATGCCTCAAAGGGTCTTCTTTATTGCCTAAATCCTTTTGTCTCCCATACCAATGCCACTACCCAGTCTCAACTATTCTTAGTAATCCATAGAGAGGATCAAAGTTCCTCCTTCTATTTTATTACACTACAAATAACCTAAAAAGTACATCATATAAAATAAATAAGTATAGAACAAAAGGAAAAACCAATAAAGCAAATGTATAATGTGCTGATACTACTTTAGTATTTAACTTTATTATTCATGATGGTTATTATGTATGTTTGAAGATCCATAAAATTGATTTTCTATCCATTGGGGAATAAATGGGCTATTTAAAACAATAGGCCCACAAACAAATCCCCTGAGGTACACGAGAGCACATTTTCCTCCTTATAATCGCCCACAATTAGAGCAGATTCTTTCAGATACATAAATTAAAGCAATAAAAAGAGGTGGCTAAAAATAGCTCTGCTTGTTCACACTGAAGGAATTGAGCTGTACACTACAAATCCTTGCCCAAAATAACTTTGTTCTGTAGTTGCAAGCGCTGATAAGAATAGGTTATGGAATCACCAGATGGGAAGAAATCTTAGTCTAGTGCAAATCTTTTCTTCCAAACTAGATTGGCTCAAACCTCCCAGAAGACAAGAATCTGTCTTGCTCTACTGAGATCATCCATATCAGTGAATATCCACAGATTAGGCTGGAAAAAAAAAAAGAGAGAGAATACCTGTGGGTGTTTCTTATAGCTCATACCTACACAGTGTCCCTTCCCAGGGAAGTGAGAATGGGATAAAGCTGACATGCTGTAGTGGGTGCTCAAGGACTGAGCATCTCTTCTTATCTCTGGTTGAGATGCTTGAGGTCAGGTAAAGACCTGAGAACGTTATCCTCAAAATGCTTCTGAGATACTAAATCCAAAATCAGGATGCCCATTTGGGGGTTTGAGGGCAGACTGAGGGCCAAAGTATGATTGACAAACAATCAAATCAGAGGTTCTGAAGGACTTGGGAGGGTGGTAGAGTCCTTTTAACAGATTTGGAGTCACAAGAACGATACTTCCATTCATGGATATTAAGTTCAGACACTTCTTCCTCAGAATAATTTTTTTAACATAAACTTCTTGAAAGACAACTGGCTAATTAGGCAATGTGTTTTGCATGACAGATTTCTTTTGATTATAACAATTATAATCAAGGAGGATCACCAAAATAATAAAAATGAAAAAGCTAGAGCTCACACAGCTGCCTGTTCATTTAATTCTGCTTTCTTTTGTTTATCCTATGTCAATTTTATGTTTTGTTTGTAATAACAATGAAGGTGATAAGAATTTAAGAGGCTGCAGATTCTATCTCCATCATCCATGGAGGCAATTACGTTTAGAATAAAGTACTCCACAGAGTACAACTAACACACTACGGCAGAATAGACATTTTTATTTCTTTGCTTGAAATTTAATACTAATCATTTCAAAAATCTGAAAAATAATAAAAAGTGAATCTGGAAAGACACATCCTCAAGAAATTGATAGTCCAGTAAAGATGAGACCTGCTCATTTCTCTAGCCATTTAATCAACCATATGTTTCTCAAGAAGCTGATGTTTTAAAAACCATGTTTTAGAACTATCAAGTCTTAGAGATGAAACACACTCAGAATTCATCTGGCTCCAAGTATTCTCTAATGTGCCTTTAGAATTAGACTAACAACCAGAGAGGAATTAATGCATGAAATATGAGAAACCACGAGTAAAGGAAATGCTGGGACTACAGAAAGCTCAAGAAGGAATTGCCAACGTTGGACAAGATCTGGTGAAAGAGATTCTCCAGGGCATTTCAAAGGTGAGGGCAGAATGGGGTGAGCCTCTTGGTTGTTCCAATGATGCTGTAAAGAAACCAATCTTTATTCCTCTAGTTTATGTGTGGAAGTCCCGGATTTTCAGGAGAGATGCTTTTACCAACTTCATGTGTAAATCCCATCACTTTCTGTGATGTATTTCTGTGACCTACCTTATCAGGTAGATAATCTGTTTTTAAAAAATCTTTTTACATGTAATCTTTTTATGTGTCTTTGAGGGTTTAAATTTTTGATGAAGTACAGCATTTGACTATGCATGGTACATGCTCAAAGAGCTTCAAGATGGTAAACTATGCTTGAAAATTTGAAGAACGCTGAATTTTGATCTCAGAATCAGAACTGCAATAAACTATATATTCAGGCATATTTTTATACAAGACAGTATGTCTTTTTATGTATTTCTTACCAACAAGTATAACAGGCATATAAGGTAGAGATTATCTTAGAAATGAAGCCATGGGAGTTCATCTGGGTAAGTGGTCTTCCTGTGGGGAAGCAGCCAGACACTGGCTAAGCAAAGTCAAGAGAAGAATTATGGAAGAAATGGTTGTTCTTTCAACTTTTATATTCATCCTAAGATAAAATCTTTTTATTTACTTATTTTTAAAGTTCTTCAATAGATCCCTCAGGATCCTTAAAATGAAACCTGGGGAAGTTAATCTAATCATTCCTTATAAATTGAAATTCAGTATTCCTATTGTCTTAATATTATCCAGAGACTATTTTATATAAAACCCTGCAAAGATAGAACATCTACAAAAAATAATTTAATCTTTCTTCATTTAAAGGATAATGCTAAATTTATTAATTTAATCATTTTGACATTTCAGAATATGAATCATCAATTTTTTCATTATAAAACAATATAGCCACATTATGTTTTTTAAAATGTTAAAACTAGAGAAGAAAGAAATGAGCTATGATCTCACCAGCCTAAAAAGCAACTACTTCCATGCTGGTGTGATTTTTACATTTCTCCACATGAATAGTTTTCCTTATGCATAAATATTAATGGAGAACTAAGATCTTTTTCTAATTTGAATTTATGGGCATTTGAAGAGGGACAAGGCAGGAGATGCTTGAAGTCAACTAGTAATTGATACGAGCAGAAAGGCTTGCAGAACAGACCCCATGGTTGTACCTCACAGCCCTGATGGAAGGAAACTTAGAAACTGGAGTCCCCTCAATGCAACGCCTGCTGCTCCTGAGATTCTCTTGAATTGTTTTAAAACCCTACCCTCCTTTCGGACCAACCATACAAATTCAATCATGCCTTTTAGGGTAAGTCTAGGCATTTTAATTTAAAAACTCCTCAGCAGATTGTGGGGCACTTGCCTAAAAGAAGCACCAGTATGGTGGTATTCCCAGTCATCAAGCCCATTCTGGAAGAGAAGGATACAAACTGGATGGTGGCAAAAGAATCTGAGCAGCTCTCTACTTTCACCTTCAGCTAGTAGTCCATTGACCACCATCTTGGAATAAATCCAAAAGATTTTGAGGCCTAAAGGGAAGACTAGTTAATGCCTTTTCTACCAAGTGTGAAAGTGAATGGAGAAGATGGGAAGAAAGCAGAAGTTGGAGGCAGGAGAGGAAGAAGGGAAACAAAACATGGGGAAATAGTAAGCACTGTGGGAAAGCAAGAGTTCTCCTGTTCTTTAAATATGTTTATAATACACTGCTTAGGCTCTGCATGAATGAGAGAATCAGGTGAAAGCGATGGAGATGCTTAAATTGGAGAATAGAAACCATAAGGACTAGAATAGCTGTCTTCAAATATTTGAATGGAAAGCCACAATACCCAGTCTCCTAATAAAGCCCAACACATGCCAAATTTTAGACCAAACAGTATCTACAGCTTTGGCATGAAAAAGAAATTAGACTTCTGTACTTTAGCTGCAAAGGTAGAATCGGGACTTCCAGATTTAAAGTTCTAAGTTCTTTCTATGAGAGAGTTTACAAGGACAGAAGGGCTTTAGAGTCTTAGTCAAAAGTCCTGGGCTTTTATTATTAACTGTGTGATCTTGAGAAATATATTAAACTCTCTGAAATACCATTTTCTTACCAATAAAATAAAGGTAATAACATAAGATTTTGAGACTTACAAGATTATATCATATATAAAGGCTCTAGTACCATGTCTTTTGTTGGTAATTAAAGCACAATGCTCATGGGCATTTTCCTGTTGCTCTGTAATTGACAATGGAACCCAAAGCTGAAGGCAAAGAAGCATCAAGGACCAAAGGGTAAGTACAGTGGTGCATTGCTTAGCAACATCGATACTTTCTGGGAAATACATTATTAGGCAGTTGTGTCCTTGTGTGAACATCATCAAGTGTTCTTACACACACCTGAAAGATATACCCTACTGGGCATCCAGCATGTGTGGATGGGGTATAGCCTATTGCTTGTAAGGTCATGGTGAAAGTAACATGAGATTAAATCAAGCACAAGAGAAAACGATGCAGTCATGAGCCGTGGCACACAAACACGTGAGGTTCCCGCTGGCATAACACAGCATCCTGTATTATAGGAGACATTTTGTAATAAGTGGAAATACAGTGTAAATAATGATAAAAGAGGGTGGCATAGTAAATGCATAAATCAGTGGCAGTCATTTATCATCATTATCAAGCATCATGTACCATATATAATTGTATGTGCTATACTTTTACATGCCTGGCAGCTCAGCAGGCTTGTTTTCACTGTGATATTACATCAGCTCTGATGTCACCAGGGGATAGGAATCTTCAACTTCATTATAATACTATGGGAGCACTGTTGCATAGTGACCTGGCATTGAACAAAGAGTTGTTAGGTGGTGTGTAACTATAATGAACAAGCAGCAACCAGACATCCCTTTGAGGATGTATCAAGAAGTGGCTGAACTTGTTCTGCTTCTCCAGCTTTCATTATTACCACCTGCTTTCTGTCCATATACGCAGATAGGGGCTGGGAAAATTCGGAAAATTCCTCTTCATTCTTGGGGTGCTGTGCAGTGAGGAGATACTTTTCTGCTCCCTCATCACTTACCAATTGGCTGTGGGCTTATACCACAGATGGCCTGGTCTACCTCTGTCCAATCTGACAAGTACGGAAATGGAAAGGAAAGGCAGAGAGTAAGGGTAAGGTACCACAGTTTCCATGCCTAACATTTAACAGTCAGTGATGGGAATGTGATTTTACCATGGATCAAAGAGGCGCAATGGAAGGCAGCCAGGCTTGAGCCTGGCTCGTCAGTATCTCACCCAAGAGAACTGACTGCCAAGAAAGTGGACCCTGGTAACAAAACACAGAGAATGAATCACCAAGGCTGGGAGCAGATGGTGGAGATTGTGAAGTGGGAGGTTCCCTATGGGGTTTCTGGAAAATTCACATAAGCACCAATGAGGAAGCGAGTATTTGGATGTCTGCCACAGAGAAGGCACCAACGGCCAACCAGCACTGGCCAGAGAGACCTCAAACCAGGGACAGGTAAGAAACAATTGTCTTTCTCCCTGTCCTTCTTCCCAGTCTCCTCACAGAGAGGAGAAATGCAAGTGACAGAAGAGGAGGCTCCAGGAGGGCATATACACCACTGTGCTCTGGGGCCAGGGGAGAGGAAATGTCATTGAATAGGACCAAAATTAAAGTTTTAAAGTGAACTAAACTGGATTGTGCTTGTTATCCCTGGAAGTGACTGGAACCTTAAAGTGGCTGTACCAGAGTTTTTGTTAGGAGACACAATAGAGAGATTGTGAGCATGGCAGAGGCGAAGGCAAGAGGCAGTAGAAAAAGAAAATCTTATGAGCTAGGATTGTTCAATAAACCAGATGTGGTAGCCACTATTTTCATTAGCAACAAAGTGGCAACAGGCGGGTCTGAATGATACCTCTTTGGGGAAATGCACTGGTGATGAATCACTGTGTGATTATGCGGGTGGGGTTTCCCCTGAAGGGACTGAACTGCTCCCTGCCAGCTGTCCTCAGGAGAGGTCATTTGTGGGACAGGAAATCAGAACTCTGGGACCCAGAGGTAGTCTGCCTAGCTCTCCCAGGAAGAGAAGAAACTCTGGGGCCCTGGAGTGCTTACTCCTGGTGGGGGCAGGGCCTAGCATCAGCACTGACTGATTTTGTGTTCTGTTTTCAGGTCATTGTCCCTGACTTTTATTGTGATTTGATCAATGTCTCAAATACATTGGCTTCTGATGTCCTGGAGGAAATTAAGAGAAAAGGTCCACAACCACTCTGAGAGCAAAGTAACGCAGCAGAGGGCGGCAGCTGAGGACAGCAACGGGGGAACAGCCTGGCCAGGTGTGACATCTCACAACAGCTGATTATAGAAGTATGCGTACGTGAGGGACAGGTTCTTGAATGCACGTGACAGGGTTCCCTGGGAGAGTTCAAGATTCCTACGCATAGCAGAAGGCGCTGAGAGTGGGGGATTGAGGGCTGCCAAATTATGTCAATAAAACTAGTGTGAGTCAAGCCATTATCATTTTAGTGACACTATAATTAGTTATTCAACAATGGAACAAGCTCTTTGTCACTACAAGCGTTTAAAGTATAAATGTTTTCTTTTTATTTAACATGTATTTATTTTGTACTTATTGTATGTCAAGCATTCTGCTAATAAGTGCTCAGACAAACCCTATTAAAAATCTGGTGTTATAGATGAAGGATTTGAGGCTTGCCAACTGAAGTAAGTTCCCTAGGAATTTATCACTAACACATAGTAGGGACTCCAAAGGTGAGTGCAGACCTCCCTGGCTTATAAATGTTGGCCTTCTGAGTTTTTCCACCTTCACGATGATGTTTAATGATGTATTTGTTAATGTGAGTAAACATACCCCAATCTGGTTTTCACTTTCACTACAGTATTCGGTAAATTACATGAGACATTCAACACCAGTATAAAAGTGGCTTTGTTAGTTGATTTTGCCCAATTGTAGACTAATGTTCACTGTTCTGAGCATGTTTAAGGTAGGCTAGGCTAAGCTATGATGTTCAGTAGGTTAGGTGTTCTAAATGTATTTTTGACTTAGAATATTTTCAATTTATTATAACTATACTGGGAAAACCACATTGTAAGTTAAAGTGCATTTGTGCCCTAGAGCATGCTAGTCTAGCAGGGCAGCAATGACACAATTACAGATGATGACTCATCGATGCAGGTGTGCATGAACTGTTGCAGAGGCACGTGAATTAGTGTCATGGGAGGGGAAGAATGGAATGGAGGGAGTGGTCCGGGAAGGTGCTATAGGGTGTGCCTCTAAGGCTGAGTTATATATGATGGAAAGGAGTTAAAGAAGGAGGGAGTGCTCTGGGGGTGAGTGACCAGCGCTGACATTGCAGACAAGAGGGCCAGCGGTGATACTTATGGAGATAGCTCAGTAAACATTCACTGAGTAGTTGAATGCCAGCATGGGCCAAGTCCCCCAGTCAGGATACCACATAGCTTTGGAGACAACAGGAGGTTAGGGAGACCCTGAACCTGTTGGCATGGAGGACCAGGGGCAAGATGGGCAATGCTAGTGACTGCAGACATCAAAAGGCCAAGAGCCAGGTGGTAAAAAAGCAGCTGTGGGTGTGGCAGAAATGTTTGGAGATTGTTTTCTGAGAGCATAGCTTGTATTCTAAGGTTTCTGAAGTGGAGCACTTCCAGATGATAAAATTCACGCCTGGGTGGGAGTCTTGACCGAAAGAAACAGGGCTGAGGGTCATCGGCATTAGAAGAACGCTCCAACATTTTGAGGCTAAGTAGACTTTTTATAACTCTGAGAATCTACAGTTCTATTAATTACTTGACTTTTCCCGAAATGAATGGGTTGGTTAAGTGCTGTAGCACACAGAAGTTGGCTGTCTCATTAAAAGTTGCTGTTTTACTCAGCTTTTTGCAAATGCACTGCCAGGGTGTTACGATCAAAACCTGTGATGTTTGTAATAGCACCAAATAAACATTTGGGGTTTGTGATGTATGGACAGTGTTTGGTTTTTGACTCTAACATCCCACAACCTGGTGCAGTGAAAGCATACAAGACCAGTTCATTGGTCTGCAGGCAACTGAGGAAGCTCAGATACGTATTACTGTAAGAAACAAATGGTTCACCTAACTCTAAGGGTACAGGTAAGCAGCTTAGTTAGAAGACTTCAAAAGGCTTTTTAGTCACCAGAGGTATCTCAGGTGTTTGTAAAAACCTTGAGAAGCTTCCATCAGTCCCATGCATCTCTTTATGTGAGGCATGTTGACAATCATCAGTATGAAAAGGCACCTCTGAGAATGGTCGTGTTAAACAGAGAACTCTGGAACACTTTGGTATGCATTTACCTTGAACAACTGCCATTCTGAAGTTATGACTTCTTGCCCCATGAACTTTTAAACTTTTGTTTAAAAAGGATTATTGCCAAATATAATTGTTATATCTTGGCCTTTGTTTTTCCCCAGTAAGAAGATAGCATAGAGATACAGATAGATCATTTGAGTTGAACTGAAAAGACTAATTTTTATCACTAGCAAAGGCAATGTGTCAAAATTGGAGATTGTCTTTGACAACTAAATTGAGGTTGGTCTTTTTCAATTGCTATCTCCTTCTATGCAGCTCCATAACCTCTGGGAAAATGATCATTCTGGGCTCTTGAAAATCCCCATAATTTTTGTGTCTTTGGTTGAAATTCAAAAAGACAGTACTGAGAGGTATACTCCCAACCCAATTTCAGTCCTAGAGATGGAGTTCTTTATTATGTTTTATGTCTCACAGCCACGTTCCTTCCCTCCCACTTGCTGGAAAGGTCAATTGATCTCAACTCTGTCATTTGAGGAAAATGTTCCCAGTCTTTTTTTTTTTAATTGCCTTAAGTTTCAGCTTGTGGTGAATTTTTCTGGTTAAATTAAAAAGGCCTCAAAGACCAAGAGGGCAACATGAGAAGTTCAGAATGGAAATGCTGACTGCTTTCTGACTGCTGCTGCTGACAAGCATCTACTATACCTAAACCTCAAGGATGCAAACACGAATCTTGCACTTCTGGGTTTCTTATAGGGTACGTGCTGGGAGTGACAACAGAAGTGCTGACTTCAGTGGAAATTCCCTTATCAAAGACCCTTCCTAATGTTTTGAAAACTGGGTCTCCAGGCTCTGATAGGCCCCTCTGAGTGCCATGGTGATGCACTCCTGACCAATCTAACCTGCTATAATGAACAAAAAGAAATGAACCTTCTCTATTAATTTGGCCACTTAGTAGGAAGTCAATGCCTGAAAGGACATGGGGGCTTTCCAAGTTCCTAGTTGTCTGGAATTTAAGGGGAAGGTCTGGTGCCAACCAGGGCAAACCAAAAGCTCTGTGCATGTCCTGATATTCCCAAAGGCCTTGTTCCCTTAGACAACACTTCTTGGAACTTGGAATAAAAAGTCTCTATTATTTGCTCTTTCAGGAAATGATTCACGGTATTTCCAAAATCAACAGAATCTCTCTCATACAGCAGAATATTTGAATTCCCAAAGCAGAAATTACAGACCTCCTCAATCTCCTTGTTTATTAAATGTATGTCTGTTAGTGTCTCATTGCTTGCAGTTGTGGCAGTCAGGCCCCAAATAAAGCAAGGTAGAAACTTAAAAAGTTTGGATTCTTTTAATTAAAAAAAATATTTTTTAGATTCCCTGAAGCACACCCAAGGTCCTGGTTCTACCTTCTAGGAGAGCAATTTGATGCTGATGCAGAAGGGATGTGTGTGGGGCCATGGAAAGAAAGTCAAAGATCAGATTCATCAGATCTTGGCCCAGCATCAACCACCTAGTGACAGCAAGACTCTGGGTTCTTTGAGCCCGCAATCTCAAAGCCTCAGTTTCCTTAATTATAAGAATTATAACATTTATTCAGGAGTTTGCATGAGGTCAGAGGACCTCATATTTTAAAAAATATGAAAAAAACAAAAATGATGTCTTAATGACATTGTAAGTATTATACTTGGAAACTGAGCACTTTGTCATTTAAATGAAGGGATGGCAGTGAAGCAGAACCCCTTGTGATGGGCAAAACATTCTAACTCAGAATTCCTCTAAGTGGCTGGGAGGATTGATAATAGGATTTAGGCATATGTTCATCTTCATATAGTCTCTGGAAAAAAAGCAGGGTTATTGTGTGGGCTCCAAGACACCAAATATTCGGTCCTATAAAGCCTTATGTCCTAATATACCTTATACAATCCTATGTCCTATATACTCTTATGTCATAGGGTTCAGGGGTGTCTGTACCTTATACACCCCTGAACCCTATGTATCCTTATTGCCTGTAGAACTCAAATTTCTTCTATTAGAATTCCAACATATTCAAAGGGGTCGGATCCCATTAGCAAAGAAGGAATGGTGCTATTTATACAACCAACAATACTCAATTCATCATCCCCTCTGTGATGGATGCTGGAGTATACTGACCACAGAAATGAAGCACTCATTGACCCAGCTTTCTGGACGGTTGCTCAATTTCTTCTGTTTTCTCCAGAAATTGTTTCAGAATTTGCTTCCCTTAGCTTGAGGGAGCTGTTAATGCCTGGTCAATGTAAAGATAGGAAGCCTGACACCCTGGTCTCAACTTAAGACATCTTTGAGAAATCATCCAGATCCAGAGTCTCTGTGGGAGTGCCTGAGGTCGTTGGAGCATCTGCTCCATGGTTCAGTTGAACCATTTTTCCTCTGCCCAGTCTTGTTTCCCTGGATTCCACATAAGTGTTATTCCTAGGAGCATGCCATGCTAAGACTTAGCACAGCAGCCTGAGACTACTGTCCTCTAAAACATTTGATTACAAGTTTGACCCTTGGCTGGTGCCCAGAATTGAGATTTCAGCAGGGTTTGTACCATCCCCAGACTGATAAGGGCAGCTCACTGTGACTAAACTATAAAAACAATGTGGTTCCTAATGAACAGCCACTTTTCTTCTGGGAGTCTGGAATTCTGGTACATGCTAGGCCAAGGATGCCTACATGACCAACCCCCACTAAAAACCCTGGACATTGAGTCTCTAATGAGCTTCCCTTATAGATGGCATTTACTATGTATTGCCACACATGTCCTGTGTGACTCCACTGGAAGAAGACTCTTGGAAGCTTGTAACTGATTTCCTCAGGACTTCATCCTATGTATCTTTTCCCTTTGGTAACATTTCTTGATACCCTTTTGCTATAATAAATCATAGCTGTGAATACAACTATATGGTGAGTGCTGAGTCCTACCAGCAAATCACCAAATTTCTCAATGAACTTCCTGCATGCAATATGCTATCATGTCAGAAAACTTGGCCTAGTACCCCCTCCTGACCTCTTCTCCTAGACCCAATCTTCCTTCCAGCTCAATTACAATTAATATTGACATTCTTCCAGTCCAGTCCCCCAATCTTAGAATCTTAGAATCAAAGTCAGTTCAATTGACCAAGTCCTTCCAAATCTATCCTTATAACATCTTCAGAATGTGACCCCTGCCTTCTCATCACTGTCACTGCCATCATCATAATTTCCATCTGGACAATTGCATCAGTTCCTTACTTGTTCTCTTCCGAGTCCCACTGGCACACAGTGTTGCCAAGTGAATCTTCCTAATGTAAACTTTGGAAAAAGTGAGTTTCTAGCTTTAAAACCAAAACAACTTCAGATTTTTTTTTCACTGATGTCAGAATAGTGTTAAACTCCTTAATAAGGCAGTCAAGGTTTCTGTGAACTAGTCATAGCCACTGTGCTGGTCACCCTCCTTTCCACCCACTGTACTGTGCCTTGAGGCCATATGAAACCTTATACTGCTCACCAAAGAACCCTGTGGTTTTTGCCTCCTTTTTCTCTTTATTTATGCTACTTCTTCCTTTTCAAAAGGTCCCTTGCTCATCTTGTGTCAGGACTTATCACTGTTTTCAATGCCAACAGTCTTTTGAGCAGCTTCTTCCATAAAACCTTCCCAGTCTGCCTCCTCATGGTAGAATTAAAATTTTATTCTCTCTTCTTCTATGGTAAAAATAGATTCCTTTTTCCTATTCCCTTTTGATGAATGTCTCTGAAAATGATATCCAGTCTCCCTCTCCTTTCTTCTTTCAGCTAGATCAATAGACTTGGCTTAAAGAAGAGCCAGAGGGAATTCTTGGCAAAACTTTTTTTTCCTATGGGATAGAGAACCATCATCCATAATTTGTAAATTGAGCATTCTGAACCAAGGATCTCCAAATGTCCTGGGTCCTGATTCCCTAAGAAAAACTGAACCTGCATCTGCTTATTTGGGGAAATGTTTAAAGTAATATTTTATGAATATGTAGAGCACACAGATAAATAGTAATTTTTCAAAGGTGAGATAAAAAAAATACATATAGAAAGTTCTAACAGTTTCATCCCATATCCCAGTGAATTCTTTCAATGAGGTGAGTGATCCCTTCCTGGAGACCCTTTCTTCCCACTCGCAGAACTCTGTGTGTTCAGTTTCCTCCTTTATGAACTTCCTGTCTTGAATAAAAAAAGAAACAAAAAACAAAAAAGAAAACAACTTTTCTCAGTTACACTCTGAGAAAAGCTAGGAAATATTAACTTCTTTTTGGCCCCAGTGCAAAAATAAAATCATCTTCTCAAAGGAAAAAATGGATTTCGTAAACAAAGCAAGTTTCTTGTGGTTTAACTGCACCTCTATAGCCAGAAGTTGCCCAAAAGGAATATGAGTCTTAATTTGTTAAAGAAGGCATGATATCCAGGCAGTCTCTGAGGACTTTGTTGTTGTGTTTGTTGCCATCAGACAGTTGTGTTTAAATCATATCTTCTGATATGCCCCATGATTAGGAGGACTTTTCAAAATCTGGACTAGGCTGAAAGTAAATTGTGGCCAAATACTTCTTTCTTAGTGATGACAGATTCAGATTCATAATATAGAACTTCAAGTGGCAATGACCTTAAAAAATATGAAGGTGTCACCTCACTTCTGTTTTAACAACAGACTTGAGCAAACCTAGCAGAAAAAT